TCACACATGGTCTCCCTGGAGACAGGGAAAGTCAAATGGGAGTCCCTGAGTATCATCTCTACCTTCTCCAAAACATTCAATTAAGCCACAGTCTTTCAGTATTCACACACGAGTCTCAGCATGGCCAAACTAAAATACACAAAGGTGACGAGGCCATTATAAGCCCATTTGATTTGTTTGACCTGTAGAAATGGAAGACAAGTTATTGGGAATGACAAGGGATCTTCTTAAATGTATTCAAGTAATGACTGAAATAACAGACATTGTTCCAAATATAGTCTCTTTGCTGAGGGAATCAGTACTAGCTTTGGCACCTATAGGCTCCCAGTGATAGAAAAAGATAGTTTTTTTTTCTTTTCAAATAAGCCAAGAAACAGGATGGAATAGGAGAAACCCTAGGTCTCCTTAGCACAGGCCGAAATTTTCTTAATAGAGACCCAGAAACACAAGAAAACAAAGAAAGGTTGGACAAATGGTATTGCATGAAATTGCAGAGCTTCTGCATGGCAAAGGACATACCTAGAAAGATCAATAGAAAACCCACGGATTGGGAGAAGATCTTCACTAGTCATACAATGGACAAGGGTCTCATATCTAAAATATACCTGGAATTCAAAAAATTAAATCCCCCAACAACTCTTCAAAGAAACAACTGCCCAATAAATAAGTGGGCTAAAGACTTAAAGAGAAACTTCTCTGAAAAAGAAAGAAGGATGACCAATAGACACATGAAGAAATGTTCGACCTCCCTAGCCATAAAAGAAATGCAAATCAAAACAACATTGAGATACCACCTCACTCCAGTTAGAATGGTTAAAATCAAGAACTCTAATAACAACAGATGCTGGAGGGGATGTGGACAGAAGGGAACCTTACTGCATTGTTGGTGGGAGTGTAAACTTGTTCAACCACTTTGGAAAGCAGTATGGAGGTTCCTCAAAAGACTTCACATAGAGCTCCCCTATGACCCAGCAATCCCACTTTTGGGCATTTACCCAAATGTTCACAAACAAGACCACACTAAATCTACCAGCACGACTATGTTTATTGCAGCCTTTTTACCATAGCTAAGATATGGAACCAACCCAGATGCCCCTCAGTAGATGAATGGATCAAGAAAATGTGGTATATATACACAATGGAATTCTATGCCTCCATCAGAAAGAATGACATTGCCCCATTTGTTAGGAAATGAAAAGACTTGGAAAAAATTCTATTAAGTGAAGTAAGCCAGGCCCAAAGAAACATAGGTCCCATGGTTTCCCTTATTTGCAGTAACTAGTATATGTCTGAGTCAAGCAGAAAAGGTCAGATAAGTTGATGTTAGGGAAATGAACCCTAAGATATGTAGTCAAATGTTTTTTTTTCTTTCATGCGATTGTTTCTAACTCATTTATAAGATTCTTTGTTGCTTTGTATGTCCCTCCCCCACAGTATAACCCCTGCTTTCATGGTATTTGATGTTGGTATAATTTGTGGAGGGGAAGGGGAAAAACAAATCGTTTAAACAGGGATACAGGTGGACCCATTGCAACAATGAGATGTACAAGTCCTTATGTCAAAAACAAACTTTACAACTTTGGTGGGGCTGGGGGGAGGAGGGTTAGGTTGAGGGACGGAGGGAGGATAGGATGGGAAGGGGAAACAAAAGAGGAGGCTACAATGCTTGATAAGAAATGTACTCATTATCTTGCCCATGTAATTGTAACCTCTCTGTACAGTATTTTCACAATAAAAAAAAACAAGCCCAGAATACCAGAAACAAGTTTGTAGTGTGCATGCGCGCACATGAACCTGAACACTCTCCTTTTAGCTAAACCTACCATTCAAACCACAACTCCACTTCTGGCTTTTTGCTGGTTAATTGGAGACAAAAGTCTCATTGTGTCTTTCCTGTCTAGCTGGCTTTGAAGCATGAGCCTCAGATATCCATATCCTGAGTAGGTGTGATTACAGGTATGACCCACTAGCCTCTGGAAAGTTTATAGTTTTGATTGGCAGTGATGGCAGTATACCTTCTCCATCTTGCCCCAACTGCTTATCAAATCTTTGGTTTTGTTTCTCCCTGGACCCCTGATGATCTCAACATTGCATGACCCCTAAGAGATATTCAAGTCCTAATCCCCCAGAACCTAGCAACCCCAGTTGCTAATCAGCTGTCCTTAAAATAGCAATGTACTTTGGATTCACTTAATCACAAGGTTTCTCATAGACAGAGGAAAGCAAATGAGGGAACCATAGATTTAGCCAGGTTAAAAGGACTCAGCCCAATGTTCATGACTTGCATGTCAAGCCTACAAGAGAGCAAGATTTGCCCTTGAGTTTATTAAAACAATATTCTCCTTGATGAGTTGCTTCTCTCAGTGGCCCGTTTCCAGGGTAAGGGGGCAAGAGGGACTAAGGAGAGTGGGTCGCTGGGCTTTTGATGGAGTCAGGCCACAGACAGAGGACGTGGGTACAAGAAAAAGGCATCCTCCGCCCTCCACGGGAATGACAGCGCCCCCACTGGCTTACCGGGCCTTGATACTAGCACGCCACCCAGCCAGGCCAGCTGCAGCACCAGGAGGAGCATGGTGTGTGGCTCCTCCGCACCGAGCATGGCGCTAGTACGGGTTATCGTTGAGCTGACCTGGTTGCTAGGGGCTGCCGTTACCATAGGGATAATGTTGCTGTGCGGGATGCGGTGGCACGGCCAGAGTTCGCGTTAGCCTTCAAGGGCGCCCTCTAGGGGCACGGAGGAGTCGGTGGTGTCTGCAACGAAGTGCTGGCAGCCTGCAGTGCTCTCCCTATCCCTAAATCTCTCCCAAATGATTGGCCTGCTGCCCCTCTGGAGCTGTCCCGAATCCCAGTCCCTATGGAAAGGCAGTCCTCTTTCGCCTCCTTTTGCTAACATGTTTATCCTGTGTTTTTCAGTATCAGACACTTTCTAGGTGCTTTTAAAGAGCAAGTGTGGTATCCTCAGCGGCCTGGGGGTGTGGCTCTTGAGAAAGCAGTGATGGTCTCTGGTGGCCAAAGGTCCTGGATTCTGTTCCCAGGATCACAAATAAAAAGAAAAATCTAACACATATTTCTTTTTGCTAAAGCCAAGCTTTGGTGGTGGTGATGGTGGTGGTGATGGTGATGATGAAGAAGAACAAAAAAAACTGATGAAGAAAAAAAAACTAGTCCATTATGGAGAGGTGATTTTCCTATTTTTGCAGTCTGCTATAATTTTTTTGCACCCTTACAATATGATATGGACTGTCATTTTTCTCTTGAATTTGGTTCTCCACCAGCCTTTGGCTAAAATTAATGCAATATTCTCTTCAGATTGAAGATATCCTTCTCTTCAGAATATCCTAAAGGTACCTCAGTGCAAAATATCCACTCATTCGTGCAGTGAAAGATTCCTACGTTACAGCAACTTTGTTCAAGGGGAAATCTAGCCAAGTATCTGCCTTGGTACTGTATGTAAAGTTTTCTAAACTTAGATGTCTATCTGCCACCTATTCACATCTTCAGTATTTCTGCCCTCTGACTTCTGATCTTTCCTGAGAATTGATTTATGTCCTTGGGCTTCAAAGCCTCCTTCCTACTAGCATCATCCAGTTTCCATCTATGTGTACCAACTATAATTTTTCAATCCTTTCAAATGCCAAAGAATGAATTTCTCAAACTCTGAGGCAATCACGCACCTAAAACGCTCTGAAGGATCATGGAAATGCTTAGTAGGGGAGTTCACATTTCAGTGACAGCTGGGATGTGACTTTATGGATGTGTGAAATTTCAACAGGGCACCCCAGCCTGAAAAATAATAGCCTGAGCAAAATCAATGCAATGAAAAACTACACCCACCTTATAGCTCATAGGGTCAGCTAGTGCCAGCCCCAACAACAGCTCAGCCAAGCTGGCTTCACTTTGCTTCACAGCACCTAGAAGAAATGCTTAGACTTGCCGGTTGTAAGTATTCTCAATGAATGTCAACCTTTCCTGTTTGTCTTTAATACAACAGCCTATATGAAGTGCTGTAATACACACTTGTGATCCTAGCACTCAAGAGGCTGAGGCAGAAGGATTTTGAACAAGCCCATGGTTCATTATACTTTGAAATGGCAGAAAAAGTGCCCCATAAGGAACTTATCCATATCCCAGTACCTGAGTCTTGCCAGATAGCAGCGTTTCAATAAACACAAAATTGGATAAAAATCTGGTTTCTTCTTAAAAAAAGAAAAACCCTATACTGTACTTAACCTCATTATGTAGAGAACCAGACTACCAAGAAAGGCAAAATATGACCCTCTAAACAAGGTCGATATGTCAAGCAAGCCAAACTCATATATTAGTTATCTTTGATTATTTGAAAATTGCAGGTTCTTGTTATGTATGCCAGTAAATATGAAAATCTTAAAGGACTTTCTTTGACATCTGATAGATCAAAACCCAGAACAGTTCAAGAACGAACCTAAGTGAAAATATGTAGAAAATACTTGAAAGCAAAATCACCTCAGATCAAATAGCCTTTCAGAAAACCTTTCTAACTAGTCAAAGATCCCAGGACTCATCTAATTCAAAGAACAGTGTTAAGTTCCACAGTTGCTACCTCACTAACTGCAGATTGTCAAGTGACATACATTGCAACTACTAATGTTGAGGCTACACATGGAAAAGGCAGAAATGTTTTAGTTATATATGAATCCATTCAGATACTTAAAGTGAAAAATCATCTTTTGGAATGGCTTATTTTACTATCACCTGATTGTTAAAATAATGTGCTCTCTTCAGAGAACTAAAATTTCCATTTTCTTCAAAGCTAATCTGTTTTCCTTTCATCATAAAACTACTGTGTACAATTTGGCAAAAGTTTGATTAGGATTTTTTTTCCAAAATGGTATCTTTAAGGTTATGAGATTACAAATAGCTACACAAAAATTTCAAGCATTTTGTTTACTGTAAATGTTTTATTTGTATTTATATACATACACAACCAAAATATTATTTAAAAAACTAATGAATTCAGTTAATACATTTTTATTAAACTTTATTATGAAAGTTTATGAAAATCTTTTAAGTGTTTAAAATTTCATTGCTCATGACATTTCTTCCATAGTAAAAATTCATTTTTAACACAGCTGAGATAACTCATAGATACCACACTAAAATTGGACTTAAGAAACCCTTCCCTTTCACCAGCCTAATTTCTATGAAAATATTATAGTCAAAGAGACATGATCCAGCAAATGTAAACATTCTAAATGATTTAATATCAAGCTTCAAAGATTCAGATTTTAGACTTAAAGTGCTCATGAAATTCTCAAGTGGTTTTATATAGCTCAATTGATTGAAGATATTATAGTTGTTCCTGCTTTATTATAGCTGTGACTCAACAGCCATCTTGATTAGATCTATTAAATACTTCGTACCTGAAAAAGTTTATACTTTAAAATAATGCTATTGTAAAATAATACCATGCCTTAACATGATGCATAAGAGAAATTCTAGTATTAAATTAAATTTTCTAACAGTCATTTATAGTTGAAAAATCACTAAAATGGAAGCTAACAACCATGTGTGAATTCACACTCTCAGCGTATTTTTCACTTTCAAAATAACATAGATGACATCCTAAATAGGGTTCTTCTGAAGACAGAATATTCGCTTACTTGTGTAGCAAACAAGAGACAAGATTTTAGTATACAATGGTTAATAATTTGTGCATGACAAAAATATTAGCTATTATTGGTAGCTAATTAGTTTTCATAGGTGTCAGATTATCACATGTTCACCCACAAACTACATGAATAATTATGGTCAAAAATGTAGGATTACATTTAAGCACATGATGACAAATCTTACACTAACAGAATACTTAGTTTGATCATTACAACACCACCTTCAAAATGCTTAATCCTTGGTAAAAAATACTAACTTCATGGAAGATGGACTAAGACATTCAGTGATGGAAATGGAGATAGTGTTCCATAAATTCCTGTGGCTCCACTGCATTTCCTTCTGTTTCTCAACTCCATGGTTGGTTTCTGCTTTTCTTAGCTAAGTTGTTTTGTAGTGTTTTGTTTTCATTCATAGTTGCAGGAGGAAGAAAAGCTTTTCAAGAAAATGTCAGGAAAAAAAAAGTTCAGTTCCCTGAAGACATCTGCAAAGACAAGGGCCCCCATCAAGTGAGGGAGCTGTACAAAGGAGGAGCAGGGGCTGGACGGGCAGGAACTAAGTTTCCCTGAGATGGTATTTTTGGATGTGGTGGAGGTGGCCTGTGAGAAGAAAAAGAAAAAAAAAACAGTTAATAGTATATGGACTGAATACAACTGTATTCATAACAAGCATAGTGTCACTCTCAACCTCTCTGATAACAGATATAACAAGCACCATAGAGTTTTATTCCATAATTGATACTGTAGGAAAGTTATTATACCCAATTGTAAAATCAAATTGTAAAAGATAAAGGATACTAAGCGGATGAAGTAGTTTTGTTGTGCTGATAGAATTCAGCTGGCAAATTTCTGTTGACCGTAAAACTAGCCATATGCACAATGCCTTCGTGCCCCTGATCATATGAAATAACATTTATCGAAATGAACTCTAGAAAATGGAAACAAGAGGTTCTTTTCTTTGTTGTTGTTTTTCTTTTCTTTCCATCTTGTTCGTTTATATGTCTCTGGGAAGGAAAGAAGGGACACAAAGATTGAACTCAGTTGAAAACGAACTATACAACTTGTGGGGGGGGATAGGAGGAAAAAACTGGCTGACAGCAAGGAAAGGGGTGACATTGTCCAAAAAGAAATGTCCTTATTATCTGACTTATGAAATGGTAACCCCTCTGTACAACACCTTAATAATAACAATAAAATTATATTAAAAGTAAAAAAACTAGCTGACCTTTCAGCTTCCTTCATCAGCATTCTCTCAGATAATTAAACATGTGATTCTGTCTCAGCCTGTCTTTCTCAATCCTCACACTTTAACTCCTAGACACCCTTCCTTACCTGTGAATCCATTCCTGGTATTTCTCTACTCTAATATCACACTAGAATGGTTCCCAATGGGCTCCTGTCTCTCAATTTTATCTATTCTTCATCTTAAATTTAATTTCAGTGTTCTCTTGAGTAACAGGAGGACCCACTTCAATGCTGAAATGCAACTGGCATTTGAAAGACTCTGCAAGGTGGGAGGGGTCAGATGTATTTTATATGGTGTAAAAATATGATAATAAATTATCCCTTCTTCCATCTAAAATCTGTCTACTGAATGTTCAGTTCTTTGGTTTTGAAGTTGTAGATTCTGCATTTAGTCTTTTTCTTAAGTTTCTAGTTTTGTGCTGAAATTGTCTTGACTTACACAACTCAGATAACATTATCATCATACTTATTTATGTATGTATTTATTTATTTTTGGTGTCAGTACTGTATTTTGAATTCAGTGCCTGTGAGCTATCCTTCAGCTTTTTCACTTAAGGCTGGTGCACCACAATGTGAGCCACAGCTCCACTTCTGGCTTTTTGGTGATTAACTGGAGATAAGAGTCTCATAGACTTCTCTGCCCAGGCTGGATTCAAACCACAATCCTCAGATCTCAGTTCCCTGAGTAGCTTGTTTTAAAATTCATGTTTAATAACTGTAAAGTAGGTATCCTGAGTCCTAAAGATTTTAGTCACATTTTCTTTCTTTCTATGGCTGGCTTTTTTTTTTTGGAGGGGGGGCCAGTCCAGGGGCTTAACTCTGGGCCTGGATGCTATCCCTGAACTTCTTTGGCTCAAGTCTAGCACTCTACCACTTGAGCCTCAGCACCACTTCCAGCTATTTTATTTGGTGAGGGGAGGGGTAATTTATTGGAGATAAGAGTAGAATGGACTTTCCTGCCTGGGCTGGCTTTGAGCCACAATCCTCAGATCAAAGCCTCCTAAGTAGCTAGGATCACAGGTATAAGCCACCAGCTCCCAGGCCTGTGGGTTTGTTTGTTTGTTTGTTTGTTTTGTTTTTAATGAGACAAATTAAGAAACAGTTCGGGGGCTGCGGGGGGGGGGGAAATAGTGCTTCCTGACCCCTGGTGTCCCACACAAAGCCTAGCTGTTAGCCAGTAACCCTCCTCCTTGAAAGTTCTCCGTTTCTTGTCCTCTCGGCACAGTGAGTTTTTGAAAGCTGGCTTCCACTTCCCAACTTCTCACTTGCCAGCTGCAGAAGGGGTCGAAGCATGTCCAACAGAGAAGTGGCCTCAAAGCTAGTCCTCTCTCGAATTCTTCCTGCCCTGGCCCTTGTCTCCACAGGCCCTTTCACCTCCTTCGTCTCCACATAGTTCTTACATTCCTAGACGTTCCAGCTGTTCTCAATGGAAGGCCCTTTGGGTTTCTCTCACTGGTTAATGCAAAGGTCCTAGCTCTTGGCTCTTCTATACACTAAAGGCTTCAGCAACAGTTCATTTTGAGTTGTTATTTCCTTTTGACACTCTACTAAATATGGCAAATTTTATAGGGGTTCTTAAAAAACCATTCTGAAAATTCTACTCTATCTAAACTTCTAAACTAAGTTGCTTAAAAAAAAAATTTGGCCCCAAGTCAAGTTAAATACGAAAGAAACTGTAAGGCTATAAAACTATAGATTTTTTTCTGGTTAAGTAATTTAAGCAATTCACTTCTGACCTTGATGGAAACCGCTGAGGCTGCCTAGCTGCATAGGTTGGTACTGGATATCTATTTGCTTGGACAGGCTAAAAAGAAAAAAAAATAATAATCAAAGTTACTATCACAACATAGTCATTAATATATTTTGTGTATGCTTTGTTATTTCTATATAACAGTAAGTAAAATGCTTATATTGACAGACTACTTGTAATGCTAACATTTAAAAATCTTTTTCTTAAATGAGGTCAGGATACAGCTCAATAATAACAACACTTGTCTAGCATTCATGAGGTCCTGGGTTTTGCTGTCCATCTAACACCAAAAAATAAATATTGCTTACTTTGCTTACTTAAGAAAATCTTTACCATTGATCATAAAATTGTGTGTGTGTGTGTGTGTGTGTTTTATTCTGTTTTTTTTTTTTTGCTAGTTTGTTTTGCTGTTTTGTTTCAGCAGTTCTAGGCATTGAACTCAGGGCTCTTACTTATTATTTACAATTCCCATGGTAACTGGGATGATAGGTGCATGCCATCATGTCCAGCTTTTCCTGTTGACATGAACTCTCAAATTTAAGGCCTCACACTCTCACTTGGCTTTTTCACTCAGGTCTGGTGCTCTATCATCTGAGCCATACCTCTCTCTACTTCCAGATTTTTGTTGGTTAGACATAAGAGTTTCACAAACTTTCCTGCCTGGGCTGGCTTTGAACCATCATCCTCAGATCTCAACCTCACCAGTAGCTAGGATTACAGGCCTGAGCCTCCAGCACCTGGCTTTTTGTATATATACATATACAAATATAAAAACATGAAGAAGGGCAGCTAACCATTTCAATTCTATGTAATTGGGAAGAATTGAGAGTCTGATAATACCAATTATTGGCATAGACATAAATCACCAGTGATGTTCATACAATCATCTTATAGCACTAACTCTTTAAAAACAATTGGAATTTCTCGAAAAGATTTAAACATTCAGACACTTAATTTGTGCTCTCCAATAGCATCTTATGCAATGATGGAATGTCTCTGTGTTCACTGATCCCTCAAGGACAGCAGCCACAAGGGATTTGCTGAGGGTGGATAGTGTGAGTCAGGTACAGAATTCTTAATGTTGAACAATTTAATATGAAATGTGTATTTTGTATTCAGCGCAGTAGGGCTTTGAGATTGGAGTCCTCTGCTGCACCCAGCACTCACTCCAATAAAGACTCAAATTAGGCTTCTCTGTGCTCACAACTGGATCTACCACACAACACATAGATAATAACAACCTAGCATAGTCACAGAAAACAACACGAATGAGAAGAGTATTTTTCCCAGCCTGGTTCATCATATTGCAACACTAGAATCTGGTCATACACACTGTGGGATATTTATGGAACAGCTGTGTAGTGAAAATGTTGGAGCACAGCTACATGTAAAAGGGATAGATTATCTGGGCGCCAGTGGCTCACGCCTATAATCCTAGCTACTTAGGAGGCTGAGATTTGAGGATCGTGGTTCAAAGCCAGCCAGGGCAGGAACATCTGTGAGACAATTAGGTCCAATTAACTACCCGAAAAACAAAAGTGGCACTGGGGCTCAAGTGGTAGAGCACTTGCCTTGAGGTGAAGAGCTCAGGGATACCACCTAGGCCCAGAGTTCAAACCCCATGACCAACAACAACAACAAAGGAATAGATCACAAAGTATTAAATGCAAAGCAGATAGATCACAAAGTATTAAATGCAAAGCAGATATATGTGTAAAAACCCAAATAAAGCACTCTGACAAGTTTTAAAGCATACAAAATAACATTATCAATTGCTCAAGCATATTGGTGTAAGCTTATCAGTACAAAGACACCCTTACCCCAATAACTGTAATACATTTGCAATGGCAATTGTGGCAATTGTGGTCCCATTGCAGGGACAATTAGTGCTCTCTAGTTGATCAGAAAGGGGGGTGGGGGGAGGGGAGTTCTGGGAACATGGCTCAGGAAAACCAGGCAATGAAAACAGAAAGGAGGTGGAAACAGCTAGTGATAGTACAGGAAGGACCCAGCTCACTTCTCAATCATTGTGCCAAGGGAGACATTCTGAACCTCCAGATACCTCCTCTCACATCCTCAGCCATGGACTTTGCGGTTGCTCCTTGAAACTGCCCCTCTCCCCAGAAGACTTCCAAATTCCTATGAAGATTTTATTTATACCTACATAACCATTTTTAATCTTGTTTTAAAGATACTAGAATGGAACCTAGAGTCTCATGCAAGCTAGGTAAGTGACTAAGAGTGATATAGATGTAGATATATTAATATTTATTGTATACACATACACACACATATATCCAGCACCTTTCTTAAGTCTTTAAACATGCAATAGTTAACATAGTGAGGAAAAAAAGTTTTTAATTTTAAACTTACAGCTTGTCTGGAAGAAGCCACTGGAGAAACACTGTGAGAAGCACTTGCTGACTGTCTAGAAACACTGGCTGGATTTTTACCATCTGACCTGAAAGACACAATGACTTTAAGGTTAAGGTGAAGACTTTTCTACAGAACACATCACACACAGCTTTGGTTTCCTTGCTACAGAATAATAATGGTGGTGACGGTGATAACCAGGTGACATGGAGTCTTCTGGCATTTCACACTTTTTTAAACCTTTATGTTAATAGGAAGAGTTATTAACCACATTTTGTAATAGTGTGAAATTGTAAGAAATTATAAAAAGTAGTCAATAAGGCCTATGTTCACAAACTTTTCGCCTCAATTTTTCTAAAAAAACCAAAGATGAGTACAAGCAAATTCTTAGACTGAATAGGCAACATTTGAAGCAATCATTAAAAATTAGTTAGTCCAGAGTTATCAAACAGATTGGCTGGAGAGTCAGCTACAGTGAGACATTCAGAGCGACAGCTGGTGAACAACAAGAATACATAGGAGACAACAGAAGTGTGGAATTAAAACAAATGCCACAGGCTGATTCTTTGTATGGACTGGCCAGATGGAAGAATGACAAATGAGAAAGGACAGAAAGATAAATCTGTTTGAGAATCCTTTAAGGGCTGAAGCTAACATCAGTACACTCTGGGAAAATAATGTACTACTTGAGAAAGATGGCACTGAGGCAAGGGTGAATAATCAAGGCTAGGTAGAGGTATTTAGAAATCATTATTATAACAATAACTATTAAGTAAGGAGAATATGCAGCAATGTGCAACAAGCTTTATTTATCAGTATTTCCCCATTTTATCTTTAAAACACAGGTAATATTATTATTCCTCTTTTTAGGAAGCAAACCAAGGCTCCAAAAGTTTATTTGTGGTTTCAGTTTGTAATTTCATAACAAATGACTGATGTGCAATTTGAATTCAAATGTGATAACGAGGCCCGGGCTACATGCCCTGCACTTTATATACATAGACTAGAACTGTCACTTTTCTCTATCACAACTCATTTCTTTCTTTTTTTCTTTTTCTTTCTTTTTTTCTTTTTGGCGGTCATGGGGCTTGAACTCTGGGCCTGGGTGCTGTCCCTGAGCTCTTCAGCTCAAGGCTAGCACTCTACTACTTGAGTCTCAGCATCACTTCTGGATTTGAGTAGTTTATTGGAGATGAGTCTCAAAGAAGCCTGGCGCCGGTGGCTCATGCCTGTAATCCTAGCTACTCAGGAGGCTGAGATCTGAGGATTGCAGTTCAAAGCCAGCCCGGGCAGGAAAGTCCATGAGACTCTTACCTCCAATAAACCACCAGAAAATCAGAAGTGGGTGGCTCAAGCCACAATGTGCTCACCTTGAGCTGAAGAGCTGAGGGACAGCACCCAGGCCCAGAGTTCAAGCCCCACTACCGACCAAAAAAAAAAAAAAAAGAGTCTCAAAGACTTTCTTTCCCAGGCTGGATTTGAACCATGATCCTCAGATCTCCTAGCTGAGTAGCTAGGATTACAGTGAGCTACCAGACCCTGACTCACAACTCTTTTCTTAAAATGTCTTTGAAACTGAAAATTCTTCCTTTTATAGGAACTGATAGACAAAATAAGTCATAGAATAAATATTTTCAACATCTACATAGTTTATTATTACTCCATTTGTTAATCTAATCCATTTTTGCTGTAATGATGACTTAGCCACTAATACCTTTGATCTTCTCTTTTTTCCTTCTTTTCAGATAGGATCTCTCTAGGCATTCTAGGCTGTCTTCAAACTCACACTCCTGCTTCAACCTCCCAAGTGCTAGAATTAAAGGAATGTGCCACTGCACTTGGCTTATTACTACCTTTTAACCCTTATTTGTGGTAAGAATGGAATACCATAAAAGCCTATGTATAAAGCATTGCCAGCATTCCTGGTAAGGACTACCATCATGATGAAAATTATTTAGCATAGATTAAACATAAAAATGTTTAAGTACTCATATGTCTGCGATCTCTTTTTGCAGGGGCATTTCCGGAGTTTGTTCCTCTTGATGAAAAGAAATGCGCAGATGATGAGCACAATCAGGAAGAAGAACACGAGCAGTCCATCCCTCAGGGCAGTGCTCTTTTCTAGAGAGATGAAATTGACACTAACAGTCATTCAATCAGATGTTACTTCAGCCTACCCGCAACATACTAGGTGACTGATGACACGCATGGTACAATAGTTTCTCTTACATACTCTTACAGTGTTTCTTCACACAAATACAAGCAAGAACTAAGTGCTTTTATTATTGTTGACCCTTCAATACATAAAATGTAGCATATAACAAACACTATTTGGTACACTGGGTTTTTTTTCATTTTCTTTTTTGCGTTTTTAACTTAGTTTGCATTTATTTATTTTTGTGCCAGTACTATGGCTTGAACTGTGGGCCTTCTGCTCCTACCAGCTTGCATGCTCCCAACTGTCACTTAACCAATTGAGTCATGCCTGCAGAATGGATCTTTCCAGAAAGATCCAGAGATAAGAGTCTTATTTTTCTACCACAGATGGCCTCAAACCATGATCCTTTGGATCTTAAGACTCCTGAGTAGTTAGGATTACAGGCGAACTCCTGGCACCCAACTAAGTTACAGTTCTTATTCTATAAGTTGAAACTTGTTGATATTAAAGAAAAAAACATTATTTGTTCTTTTTTTTTTTTTTTAGGTCCGGTCGTGGGGCCTGAACTCTGGGCCTGGGCGCTGTCCCTCAGCTCTTCAGCTCAAGGCTAGTGCTCTACCACTTGAGCCACAGCACCACTTCC